GTCCATCTTGAGGTAGTATCTGACTACTCCTCTGACGCCTTCCTCGCAGCATTCCGCAGGTTCGTTTCCCGTCGCGGACTGTGCGAGGAAATGTACTCGGACTGCGGAACTAACTTCATCGGGGCGGACAACCAACTCCGAGAATTCTTCCGCGCGTCATCTTCCGACGGCCGTCGCATCTCTCGGGAAGTCGCCAAGGAAGGAATATCCTGGCGCTTCAATCCTCCCGCCGCGCCGCACTTCGGAGGCCTCTGGGAAGCGGCGGTGAAATCCATGAAACATCACCTGCGACGGGTGATAGGAGAGACTACGCTCACCTTCGAGGAGATGAGTACTCTTCTTTCACAAATCGAAGCATGTTTAAATTCTCGTCCATTGCAGGCTTTCTCAGATGACCCCGACGACATCACCGCATTGACTCCAGGGCATCTCCTAATAGGCGCCCCTCTACTAGCGGTCCCAGAGCCCTCATTAGCCGAACGGCCTCCGAACGCCCTATCCCGGTGGCAGCTGCTGCAACGAATGCGTGACCACTTCTGGCAGCGATGGTCTCAGGAGTATGTCCACGCCTTGGCACCTCGATCAAAATGGCTCAACTCCGAGCCCGCTCCGGAGGTCGGAGCATTGTGCCTCATCCGTTCGGAGATGACCCCGCCTTCCCGCGAATACTCGCGCTGCATCCAGGAAGCGATGGCACGGTCCGCGTTGTGACTGTCCGCACCTCCACCTCGGATCTCGTTCGGCCAGTCGTAAAACTCGTCCTTTTACCGGGAGTCAAGGAGGCTCGCGCGTCCGTAGACGAATAATGCTCGGGCACTATTCTCCCCGCGTTGCGTAGAGTCTTGCGCGCCTCACTATATTGTACATATTGTATATATCGTGTATATATTTTTCATTACAGCTGTCCGTCGTCCATCTCGCGTTCTCGCCGCGATTTCCTCATTCGCATATCACTAGTCACCCACTCACTGTACATTGTGCATCCCCGAGCGATGCACAATTGATCCCCATTAATCATTGCACTTCACATCGCACTACTTTTCATTATTTCACTGTAAATATCACCGTATTTCACTACCGCAACTCTCAGTCTCGCGAAAGATAGAAATCAACTGAACAACACGTGTTGTCGTATTGCGTCACACATTCCATTCATCGATCGCGATCCAGATACCGCCAATTGAACCGCTTGCGACATCTGTCCGTCCCCGTTCATACTCGCGAATTTCGTCACGCGCTGACGAGGCGGGCGGGATGTTCGAAATGCGTAATCGATTATCTCAATGTAAAATTTCGCGTTGCTAAAATCCGTATTTCAAATCTAACGGGCATCGAGAACTTTCTCGAGCCTTCGTTCGGTAAACAAAAACTCGAACGTTCGAGTCACCGCTCGTTTTTGCACCGCCTAAAAACGCTTGAAATTAAGCGATTGACAATAACATTGTCAACCGCCGTCAAAACTAAATCAACATACGGGCATGCGCGCCCATACGTCACGATCAGCTGATGGCCAATCAGCTGATCGAAAAAGGTCGTGCGCATGGCAAACGTCACAACGCTATTTCCTGACCTCATCGGCGGCCAATTATGCGCGGCGCCATGAGGTCACCGCCAAACTTTAAAGTTAATTGGGCCACGTCGCGACGGGGCCCAAAAATCCGCCCGGTATATAATGAGCCCAGCGAGAGGGCACGCGGAAGTCTCGCACTTTTCGCTTACCATACCGCTTAATCTTACCGCTCAGTCAAACCGCAAATATTAAACGACAACCGCTATTCTTCTCGGACTTTGATTTTCCGCACGCTCGATCTGTCTCGCCGCTCGCGATCTCCCGCGAGTTTAACCGCTTCGCTTGTCGTACCGCTCGTTGCACTGTACACTTGTCACGGTCATCGTTGAACTCTAATAAACTATTGTTTTGTGTGATTATCACGAGTTTCACTGCACTGGCCTATCCTCCACGTTCGCGCAATTTCTTGCCGGATCCGCTCGCGAACAATCAGCGAATAAACTCGTATCGCGCGTACGCGGTTGAACGTATTTTTTTCCGGCACTTCCTCCGGAGCAATCGAGAATTTATCGCGCCTCATTAAATTAAATTACCTCGTTATATTTCCGCATTGCGCGATTTTTTTCATATCGCTTTAGATTACGGCGTTAGCATTAGCATTCGACGGAATCACAAAGACTCGGCGATAGCGATATCGCAGATATAAATCAGCGCCGAGAGACCGTTTTTTCCTCAGAATGAGTCTCGCGATCCCGTTGTTGAGTGCGTCTGATATCGCGAGTGTTCTCAGTGCGTCCAGTGTTCCTAACGTATCCAGCATTCATTCTCGGAGTTATTTTTTTCACGCGAACGACGAGCAGCGATGAAATTTCGCGATTGCGGAGGATGCTTCGCGAATGCACGTTCACGCCGTGGATGTGCTTGTGGAAGATAAAGTACATCAGAAATCTCATGGATGCGATCCTCAATATAGCCGTAACGTGGAACGTAAGTACTCATTCGTCTCTTTATTCTTTCGCTCTCCTTCGAGGAAAAAATACTACGTATATTTTTTTTTTCACAGTTCGAGAATGAGGTTGAGATCTGTGGATTCGTCAACATACGTCGCCGACATAGGATACGACAGGCGAGACTGAAGCAACGGCGATTCTTAAACTCCTTATGGTGCGACCGGCCGTCCTATAGAGAATGGGAGAGGCGCTCCCCTAATATCTACGCCGACATCTTTCGACTAAGAAGATTGTTCGACATGGAGCCGCTCGTCTCGGATCGCGCGTTTAAAACCGAGGATTTCTGTGACGACGATTCTCCCGTGGAGATATGGTACTGTGACGCGAGCTCGCTCGAGGAAACGAGCTCCATCCGTACGGAGGACGAAGGATTTTAACCGAGGTACTGATCACTTCTGGTATAACGCGCCGTTCTTTCCTTTCGCGTCTCTCGATACGTATTATTATCATTAATACGCAGCTTTACGTATTTCAGACGTCTCGTCGATCTCGACGTCTCGTCGAAGGACGGTGTCGGAGGACGGCGTCGAAGGACAGCGTCGGAGGACGGCGTCGAAGGACGGCGCCGAAGGACGGAGTCGAAGAACGGCGTCTTCCCTGGAAGACTATGCATTATTGAAGTAGACTACTATCACATGCAAAGTTATCCCTTAAGATTGATCTTCGCCCGCGTCGCCTCCCTTCCCCTTGCGCGCGTCAAAACTCATCGTCGCTCTCGCGAACTGAGCTTGTTTCGCCGATCGGGCGCGCCGCATCTTCACGAGAGATTCGTCGTCGTCGTCGTCGTCGTCGTAGTAATCGTCGTCGTAATCGTAGTCGTAATTTTGTCTCCCCCATATTCATATAATTCATTATGCCGGGGGGTATTTATGGTTGATTCGCGGGCGTTTCTCTGTATTCATACACTCTATTATGCCGGGGGGTATTTATGGTTGATTCGCGGGCGTTTCTCTGTATTCATATAATCCATTATGCCGGGGGGTATTTATGGTTGATTCGCAGGTGCCTCTCAATATTCCTGTCCATACTCGTATACTCCCTCTTACAGGGGTATTTATGGGTCATTTATGGTCGATTCCTAGGTCGATTCCTAGGTCGTTTACGGTTCGCTTACGGTTCGCTTACGGTTCGCTTACGGTTCGCTTATGGTTCTTACGGTTCTTATGGTTCTTATGGTTCTTATGGTTCTTAGGTTCTTACGGTTCTTACGGTTTGCTTACGGTTCATTCACGAATGAACCCCCGCGATCGTTTCGCCTTGTTCGGGCGCGGTTATACGGGTAAGCGTAAGGCTCGAGATCGCGATACATTCATTCACAAATCATGTTTTTGCAGCTACTTTATTTTTAAATGGTCGTTCGATATGAGCTTAAACGGGCATGTTTTTGTAAGACCGTTTATTTACGTCGTTCCCGAGAGCATTAAGAAGTAGCTCTTCGCACTCCGTATCGGTTCGCAGGTCATTCTTGGTCGTTCTCACAGGTCGTTCGTATATATCGTTCGTATATACAACTTTTACTGAAGTCATTTTTGATTGCAGGCTTTCCCTAAGAGATATTCGAGTGGATCATTTAAAATGGGTCCACCCCGTATATAATAGTCGTACATTTAATAATCGTATTTTTCAATCATATATGTTTAACAATGGTATATTGTAATCGCCGTGTCGTATCCATCGTCGATAGTCGCGCGATCAGCAAACAGGGAGGAGAACTCGAAGACCCTCCGCGTTCTCTCGAACATTATATTAGGATGTTCTAATATAATGTTGTAATATAAGGTTCGCCGACTACTTCAAGTTCCTCCCCCCCACCACAAGCTCACTCGCGTATCGGCCGTGTAATTACTTCATTATGTTAAGCGTTATACTAAGCGTTATACTAAGCGTTATACTAAGCGTTATATTAAACGTTATAACCCTGTCGACATTTGTATAAACATCTCGTAAAGCGATACGCTACATTCACCTCCTCCTTGTCCTCCGACAAGTATCGCGAGACTAATATACACGCGCGTATCGCGTGCTTCGATATCGCGTCAAATGGTTCGATTTTATGTTCAAACAAATATGTAAAAAGAAGTAGAAGACACGACAAGGCGCACGTCTAAGCGATATCTTTGTGAATTGCAGATCGCGCGCATTTTTTGTACGAATGAAGAATAATGTTTTTTGTACGAATAAAAAAATCATTTTTTTTGTACGAATAAAGAATCATTTCTTTTCGATCACCTCTCTAGCGCGTCCTAGAGTATCTTTCCTCTCCCTTTTCTATTTTTTGTTATCGTTTGTTTCTTTTTTTAAAAAAAAAAGTTCGTTCTCTCGATCATCCTTCTCGCGCGTCCGAGCGTACGTACCCTCCCCTCCCCTCGCCTCCTCCTTCTCCCTCGTACTCGCGCTTTCTCGCGTTCCGGAGAACGACGACGCATCGCCGAAGGCGATAGTTCGCCACCGTCCCGACTCCCGCGCGTCTCGCACGAGCCATGACGCGCGTCGCGTTATCGCTCGCGCTGACGATATCCCTGCTCGCGGCCGTCGCGGCGACGTCGACCTACGATGACGTCGTGGAGGCGTCCCGTTATCTTCGAACCTACGGCTTTCTGGAGAACGAGGAGAATCATCAGCAGTTGTCGCTACTGGACAACGCGACCGCCCTGAGCGAAGCGCTGTCGTTGTTTCAGGAATACTACGGTCTGCCGGGAAACGGCGTTCTGACCGTGGAAACGATTCGCGTCATGCGCAGGCCGCGATGCGGCGTCGCGGACATTCGCGCCTACAGCCCGTTGACGAGAAAGTGGCCGAGGACGCATGTCACGTGGAACTTCAAACTAGCGAACAGAGATACTCTGCGCACGACTCAGAGCGCGTTCTCTCTGTGGTCCGAGCAATCCGCTCTGACGTTCTCGCGCGACTCGCTGCGCCCCGATATCCTATCAATCCGGCGCTCACGCGTATGAGAACAGCGACAACGGGGGCTCGTGCCCGTCGCCGTTCGCGGGACCGGGATCGGTCGTCGCTCACGCGTTCTTTCCGACGGGAGAGCCCGATCAGGTGACCGAGGTGCACGTCGACGAGACGGAGCCGTGGCACATCACATTGACCAAGCCCTCGTCGGACAGGCTGTATCTCCTTCAGACGCTGACGCACGAGATCGGTCACACTCTGGGTCTGACTCACAGTATGAGGGATGACTCGGTCATGTACGCGTACACGCCGTCGGAGGAAAGGCGATATCCGCTCAGGCTGAGCGTAGAGGACGTCGTAAACGTGCGAAATCTCTACGGATCGAGAGAGACGACGACTCCTAGGATCGTCGAGGCTACTCGACCGACGACCGCGGCGACGACCGCGATGACGACGAGAACGACGACGACGACGACGGCCTCGACGACGACGGCAGCCGCGGCTCAGCCGACGACCGCGAGAACGGTCGAGCCGCCGCTCGCTCCCTCCGATACCGCAGATCTATGCGCCTTGAGGCGCGTAGACGGAGCGCTAATCATGAATCGTCGCCTGTACGTCGCGCGTAAACGCAACGTGTGGCCGGTCGATATGAGGGAGAGACGCTACGGAGCGCCCTTCTCGTTCGCCGACTACTTTCCTCCCCCGCAATCTCACTCGCGTATCGGCCGTGTATCAGAGACCGTCGGGCGATATCGCGATATTCGCCGGCGACTACGTCTACCTCGCCGATTCGAATTTTCATCTTAAAGCGGGATGGCCTAGATCCGTCGAATACGTCGGATTTCCCCGCGACGCTAGGATAAACGCCGCGATAAACACGCACGCCGGGCGCAGTTACGTCATATACAACGACGATAAGATAGCCGAGATGAACGACTGCGCGATGACCGTCGCGAGGCACGGCGCTCTGCGGGATACGTTTTCCGGGATACCATCCGCGATAACGGCCGCCTTCCGTCACGTCGACGGTAATCTCTATTTTCTGAAGAAACGCGACTATTACGCGTACAGCGAGTTCCTCGACGCGATAATCTCGGCCGGTCCCTTCGATCTTAGCATACTGGGAATAGAATGCCCAGCCGATGGCATTCTGCATCGATTGAGCGAACTCGTCTCCAAGCTGTATCGTCTGGAATACGCGTCCTTCGAAAGACCGCGCAACGGCGACGACGACGACGACGTTGACTAAGATCAGGAAATCCTGAAACCTAACGTTAAGATTACATTTAATATGCTGTTCTAAACCGCTGTTCTAAACCGCTGTTCTAAACCGCTTCCGCTGCATTAATTAACGCGCGCGTCGAGAATAAAGATATCGAGACGATTGAGATCGCATCGTATATAAGACGCGTCTCGATCGTTGAGCGCGACATTTCCAACGATACTCGCGATTAACGCGCGTCCGATTCTCAGCGGACGTCTACGACGAATCTCTCTCTCTCTCCTCGCGACGATCAACGTTAACGACGCCGTCGCCACCGCAGTGTCTTCCTACGAACATCGAAGCCCTGTTCGCGAGACCGATCATGTTCGCCGGACTAGGACAGGAGTACCGCAGAGTGTTCGGGGACTCGTCCGCGACGCCCGCGACGCCCGCTACTCCGTCGGCGCCGCCGATGACGGGCCCCTTCGTCGTCCGGCCTAACCGTCGAGACGATTACGCGGCTTCCGCCAAGGACGAAGATACCACCCGCGATCGTTCGGACACTCCGCCCGTGATCAAGAAAGCGCGACTGTACACCGAGGACGAGTGAGTATGCGCGAGTCACCTCGCCCGAGCGCTCTCGATCTCCGCCTCGATCGGCTATTTTCGCATAATAACGTCGTCTTTTTTTTTTTACAGATGGAATAGAAACTGGCTGTTCAAACGCGAGATCAATTTCGCGAGACATCCGATTCGAATACTAGGAAGACGATATCCTCTGACCAAGACGGCGTACAAATACATCGACATCGCCGTGAAGCGCGAATCTCGAGTCGACATCGTCCTAGGAGACTGCCATGGAAAGGAGATATCTTTGACGCCTGACATGTGGAAGGATCTGCTCGCTCTGCGCAACGATATACTGCCGTATTTCGAGAACGAATTGGACGAGGCTGTCGCGCGCCCTCCGACGTCCATAATCGTCGGAACCGTGACGCTTCGATTCGGCAAGATAAACAATCTGAAGACTCTGCAATTCGAGACACCGAAGAATCGCATCGCTCTGTCGCAATCCACCGTGAAGGCGCTGTTCGTTCTCGAGCTGTGCGTCAATCGTATCATCGCGTCGTTGACCGGCATACTCGAGATCGTAGACGCCAAGTTATCGCGTTTTCTAGATATCGCGACGGAGACCGACCACCCCGGCGATATTCCCGAAGCGATTCGCCGGCACGAGCACTTCAACGCGAACGATCTGATCGACTGCGAGTTGCACGCTCTGCTGTTCGGACTCTATCACAATTTGTAAGGCGAAACGATCGCGAGTACCGATGTTATTCTCGACGTACACATGTATCTACGCATGTAACTTCGCGACATAATAAATAAATAACTAAATAAATAAATAACTAAATAAATAAATTGTACACGTAATTTATTCTCTCTCTCCTAGATTTACGTCACCCTCGTCTCTCCTCGCTTCGCGAAGAATTCCCTCCTCCTCCTCCTCGAAATAAATCTAATATACATCGTACATTAGACATCGTATAAAATAATATTTTATATAAAATCGCACGTTATATAAATCTTACGTCGTATCTCTTCCAGGCCTGCGTCGAATACATCCGCTTTATTATTAACGTCGACCTTATCTCGCGCGACGCGCCCGACGCCGTGGCGATCGCCACTTATCGCGCGCGCCTAGCGCGCCGCGTCCAGAGACGCTCCGACGCGCCGTAACCAGGGACGCGCGCCCGCCGTAACCAGAGACGCGCGCGCGCTCTCTCACCCCCTCTCCTTCGCTCTCGCGCCGAACCCCGCTCCCCTCGCCCCGCCGACCCCTCGCCCTACCCTCCGCGTGACGTCCGCTCCCCCCTCGCCCTCCCCCGCCGCGTGACGTCGCGACCCTCCGTTTACCCACCCGACGGCGAGCGGCTCCCCTCGCCCTACCTACCCCCCCTGCTCACCCGCGCCGCCGTCACCCTGCTCCTCGGATCTATCTTTCTATCTCTCTCGCTCTACGAGACCTCTCTCTCGCAACCATGCAAAAAGTGGGTTAGAACCGACCTATTCTCCCTACTTATATATATATATATATATATATATATATATATATATGCATATGTATATATATATATATATGTATGTAAGATTTATTGTATTCCCTCAGGATTTACAAGGCGCTTTTCTAGAGAGCGTTCCCGAATCCTTTACAACTCTAACTGTTATTTCCCCGGACCTTGCCTTTGTGCGACTTCTACATTCTAGTTCCTTCTTCCTCCTTCGGACCCTCCTTTCCTCCTCTCACCAGCCCTCCCCCTTTTCCCTTCCTCGACCCCCTCTTTCCCATCCACTTTTCTTTTCACGGCTGTCCCCCGTCCTTCCTCTTTTTCTCCTTTCCTTTCTCTCCTGCGCCTGTCTTTCTTCTCTCACTTCCTTCCTATCTTTCTCCCAGTCCTCTTGTTTTACCTCTTTTCCTTTTCATATCCTTCCTGCTCGCTAGTTCACTGTAAAAAACAAACAAAATCGTGCACAGTTAATCCTCTCCTCTCCTCCCCTTTCGATCTACAGTTTCTTCTAATTCCCTTCTCTCCTTCTTCTCCCCCATCCGTCCCTCTACCTCCATTCCTATACTTCCCCTCACCTCTGCCTTTCCGTCACCCTTTTCTTTCTACCCCTCTATCCTTCTATCCTTCCCTCACCTGACCCCTATACCCTATCTTCTATCCCCTCTTCTCACCCTCTTCTCTCCTAATCCTCACTCTCCTCCTCCGTCTCTCCTGTCCCCTCAGTCCCACCTATCCCTTTCCATATCTCAACTCCATGCTTTCCCATTCACTCACACTTTCCTATTCGTCGTTACTACCACATTCCCCCTCGCCCTCTCCAGCTTAGCCCTTTCCACCAACTTCCACTTTATCTTCTTTTCTTCCATTGTTAAATCCTCATCCACCTCTACCCCCCCAGTTTCTACTAATTTCTCATCCCCTTTCCAATAATTCCTCTCTATCCTGCAACTTTTCTATTCTAACTATTAATACTATGCCCGCCGTCCCCTTCCTTTCTATAACTTCGCTGATCCTTGCTTTCCTCCCTAGCTCCTCCTCCACAATTCCCTCCATCACCCTTCTCCTCTCTTCCGCACTGTCCCCCTCTCCATACTAAATTCTTCCTTCTCTCCCTCTTCCTCTCCTCCTCCCTCTCTCTTTCCTTCCTCTCTACCTTTCTTCTCTCTCTACTTCTCCTCCTTTTGTCTCTCCTCTCCTCGAATTTCTTCCAAGCGTCTTCCACTCTCGTTCCGCTGTCCTCTTCCCCCGCATCTTCTCTCCTCTCTCAATCTTTTCTCTTCCTGTCCTCCATTCTCCTCCTTCTTCTTTCCTCTTCCTCCTCCATCATCCTCCACCATTCCTTCTCCCTTTCCTCATACTCCGTGCTCTCTTCCTCTCTCCTTTCCCCCTCTCTTCTCTCTTGCTGCTCCTCCTTCTTTCCTCCTGCCGTCCTCGTCTTCCTTCTCACTTGTCTTTTTCCTTCCCTCTCCTCTTCCTCCGATGTCTTCCACTCTTCCCCCTCGTCCTTAACTTTTCTATCTGACTCCCTCTTCCTTCCTCTACTCCCCCTCTCTCTGTCTCCAGTACTCTCTCCTTCCTCCGACTCCTCTCCTATCTTTTTCTTCCTTTCCACTACTCCCCTCTTCCCTAACACAGACTTCTCCACTTTCCTACCTGCTTCCTACTCTCTTCCTTCCTCCTTTACCACCCTTCCACCCTGCTCTTCTGTGCTTCTACGTCCTTCTCCTCCTTCCTAACCTTGCTCCTCTTACTCCCTTGCTCTGTCTCTTCCATCTTTTCCTGTCCACTCGCCATTCTCTTCATTACCTTCACTAGCTCTTCCACCTTTCTTATCTCCCTCAACTCCACCACTATCCTTCCTCTCTCTTTCTCCTTGTCCATTCTTCCGTCTCTGTCTTCTTTACTGCTACCACATGCTCTCCTCGACTCCATCTTTGATCTATTTATCGATTCTTCTATTGATTTCTCCGTCTCTTCTATCCTCTCACGCCATCTACCCTTATCTCTTCGTCGCGAACTTACCTCTCCTGTGCATCTCTCGCCAACGCTCCATCGACCTATCGATCACTCGATTCCCATCCTCGCACTTCTAGCTCCTTCTCCATTCTCTCACTTGATCGATTCTCCATTCTCTTGTTCCTCTTTCTCTCTCCATTGCCGTCCGCTTTTTTTCAACACCTTCTCTCCTCCCTTCTGCCACCCCGCTTCTTGCTGACAGCACTTTATACCCAATTTTTTGATCTCTCAAAAGCACTCTTTCCACACATCTTCCAATGCTGCCTCCATTTCCTCTCCTCCTTCCTGCACCCATCCGCCATGTATATATATATATATATATATATATATATATATATATATATACAGGGTCTACCAAAAGTGTGGAAACCCCTAAATATCTCGGAAAATATACGTTTTACAGAAAAGTGTTTCCAACAAAAGTTGTAGGGTTTAAGAAGATCTATATACTGATTCTATCAGTTTGACCTTGGATGGCGTCGTCAAGGTCAGGTCAAGGTCACATTGACTTTTTTAAATGACACCCCCTACATTTGATTGCATATTCTTATAGCTTAATTCAAGAGCTTTCCAAAACACTATAATAATGTTCATTTTTATTAAGTACTTTGCGAGTTATGAGGGTTGAATGATAGAGTAGCGCCGGTATTAACATTATCCAAGGTGTACTACATGGAGGTTACTCGCTCGGATTTGCATCTGTTGTGTGTGTGATCCAGCTAACTAAGGCAAGATCGGTCGTGGATCCAGTCAGCAAAAGCAAAGACCCAACCAAATTACAATCGAGCATTTAAAGACCTGGAAAGCAATCGACATAGTAAACAGTAAATAAATTTGTGGATGCTCATTTATCATAATAATTGTTCGAAATGTGTGCGTGTGCGTGCGTGCGGTGCGTGTATACAGAGATCAGGTTAGGTTGCACCAAACGATTGCAAATGTGTTTCAATGTGTTAAAGT